TTTTTTTTTTATTTTTTGAGAGGTTTTTGCTATAGGGTGCATGCCTGCCAGAAAGACAGAGAGAGACAGAGACAGAAAGCAAGAAATCACCCCCCAGGGGGGATGGTCACGTTGCAATCCCTTCTCCTCCATTCTCCTCTCGGGATCTTGGGCACACACGCATATGCGCCCGGCATGAGTTTAAGCCACTGGGTGCGGAACTTGAACCACGGTCAACTACATGGGAGTTCAGCGACATAGCCATTACGCTAACTGCTGGTCCCAAGACTCATTTTTGTTTTTATAGGAAAAAAATTACAGTATCAGAGTATGTATATTTTCTTGTGAAGGTACATAATCATTCCGTTCTCCCTCAGCATCCTGCCCTGGAATCTGGTCACAGACCAGGAACTGTTATTTACTATTCTTATTTGAACATCTAGTCTTGCCTCTTCCACTCACCCTCAATAGGCTTCCATTCTAGACCTTAGAATTTGAAGGAAGCGGAACGATAATTTGATGGAATCCCCCTTTTCACAGGTGAGAATATTAAGGCCTAGAGAAGTCGACAGTCAGCACAGACCCACAGCTGACCAGTGGAGGGGACAGCCTTAGAACCTGGAGTTCTCACTGTGTGGGATTGTCCCTCTCGATGCCAAGACTAATCTGAACCGAGGTTTAGGACTTCATTCTGCTCCCTGTCTCTCCCACTCTCATCCACTATTAACAATGAGACTGTACTCTGGTAGAGTCTCCTTTACAAGCCATGGGTTAGAGTCAGAAAGTTGAGTGAGGCCTGAACAATTCTCAACTATTCATTTAATTCCAGTGGTGGTTTTTCCAGGTGGGAGTTCTATAAGAATAATATTCTGAAAGAGGTTAGCTTCATTTGATCTAATTCTAAATCTCTTATTTCTTAAAAGACTCAGAAAGGTGCCTCTTACAACACTGCTGTCCCTCTGAGAAATTGTGGCCTCTTCAGAACTGTCATCACATTATCTAAGATTAGAGTCCAGCGCTCCCACGGTATTCAATATGAAAGGAAACATGAACACTCCGGAGAAAGAAGCAACCTCTTCCTTTTTCGCTAGGCCAGCCTGCCTGCCAGTCAGGATCTTCCCACCAGCTGCAGCCTCGCGTGCCTGGCAAGTGTAGGCACTGTACCCTGGGTGTGAACCATGGCTGAAAGCACAGTCTGAAAGTTCTTTTTTGACCACCTTCATGAAAAAATGGTTTTAAAACAAGATTTCACATTTTATTCTGATTAGTAAGCACTAGGAAATAGGGACTACTCTGTTTCAAAAACAAAAAGAAAAACCACCACCAACACACCCGTGAAACAAACCAAAAATGTCGATGGGCCACTCCCATCTGGGGCATCCTCCATGCTAACCAGTTGCAAAGTCAAGGTCTCTGTAGTCCAACGAGGAAGTGGAGAAGCACAAGGTGCTCCCAGTGAAACTGTGATGGTACTGGCCAAAAACATCCCCCCTCACAGCCTGGGTGAGGCAGGCCCAGCGCTGCCCCATGGATGCTGTGTTCAGAGCACCCGCGGGGCCCACCATGCTGGGGAGGGGAGCGGATGCAGGCCCACCGGGCCTCCGCGCTTACCTGGGTACAGCGTGCCCGGGAGGCCCATGCTTTGCAAGTAGTTGTGGCAACGCTCTTTATGTTCCTCTAAAGAGCTTCGCTGTTTATAGCTTCGGCCACAATATCCACATTTGTGAGGTTTACCAACTGCAGAAAACACAATTGAGTTCAAGACCCCAATTAAATGTCGGCCTTACGTGTGATGTGAAAGCATGCAATACAGTTATTACCAAAAAAGTAAAAAAATGGAAAAAAAAATTCTAGTCTTGAGAGCTAAAAGCAGTAGGGACCGAGTCAAAATGGCTGAATTAAAAAATGTTCAAGTCCAGAGGTTTCCTCGATTGTAAGTGAACCGATAACGTGTGTGAATTATCTTGTCTACTGTACTGCCTACCAAATTCATTCCTCCTTAATCACGGAAGTCTCTGCTTTTCTTGGTAGAAACGAACTGCTGCAGTGTTACAATGTGGACACCGGACAGCTGAACAGAAGTGTGAGGACGGCTCTTCGTGGCTGGCTCACCAACTCCTCTTCCAGAGCAGGCCTCTCGCCCAGGTCTGACCTGCCACTGGTCTTACTTCTAATGCAACCCAAGAGAACTCAACTCCTGGGCCACTCTGGCTAATCTGTGATCTCTGTGAGACACTACAGGCTAAAATAAGCTTTGACAAGATTTACATCTTATTTCTAAAATATGTCCTCTTGTACAATACAGAGTATTTTACATGTGTATTATATAATACAGAATGCTTCATATGAGAATGTATAATACGTAATGTATCTTCCATAAACAAAAACTTATGAAAAAAATCTCTGTTTTTCTCCCCGAGGAAAGTTAAGGATGGAGCAGCTTCTAGGTCATCCCCACCCAATGGCACTTTCAATGACAATAGCGATGTTCTCTACCTGTGTGTCTATGTGGCAGCCAGCAGTCACCTGCGGCCACTGAACTTCTAAGTATGGCTACTGACATGGAGGGCTGCAGTTTTAATTCTGTTTACTTTGACTTCAATGGAACTACAGTTTCAATACCACATGTGGCCAGTGGCTGGGGGGCGTACAGAATGAGTTTAGTCCATCCTGGATTTTACTCAGTGGCATTTAGGAAAAGAAGACCAGCCAGAAATCTGCATCATCCCACGATGTAAAGACTTCAAACCGTACCATTGTAAGAGATGAAATAGAAAAATGCCTTCAATCACTTACAAATGGAAATTTCCACCCTATGACCAGAATCTTATCTGTTTCTTTTTTGTATGGTTTGATTTACCATATTTCAAAGTATTACATAAGAATCAAATAGAATTGTTTTGTAGACTGGTTTGGCCAGAGCTTGTCTTGGTTGAATCTCTTTCTCAGAAGAACAGATGCTAGGGTTTAAGAAGACTAATGTGAAAACCAATTTGATGTTCTGGAACATTAAATAGAGAAAGAAAGGGAGGTTCCCTCAACACCAGGAAATAAAGTTGAAATACAGAGTGATGCCTAAAACTGCATGTTTTCCTAAGCACCGCTTCTAGAAACTAACGGACTATAATCATTCAATGTCTTTTATAACTTTAGTTGATTTCTTGCTCAAAACTGCCTCCTAATACATGGCATGGTGTCTGAATATCCATTTTTCTGAGTGCTTGGCTGACTTGAACCTGGGACGTATGAAGTAAGTTCAATGCGAACAACTGAACTAACGTCTTCCTTGAAGCACGCCCACTGTTCTGCAGGAAAGAATCTCGCACTAACTTGTACCTTCCAAAGAGAGCAGTGAGAAGGGAAGGGATCCTTCCTTATACACAGATACCCCAAGACCCTCTCCTTACCAACCTGGGACAAATTTCATAGCTTTGCCACCTCTACTGTGCTGGAGTTAGGAACCTCAGGCCACCATCAGTTGCTAGGAAGAGCTTTGAGGTCTATCACGGTTTTTTTTTTTTTTTTTT